AAGTCATGGAGATGGATGTATGCATAGTCTATTATATTAGTCCTTTGGACTAATAGGATTTAAGTCTTCACTATTCTTTGCTCCAGACAGGGAAAGACCAACAGATGGCTACAAGTTTTTAAAACTCTAGTCAGTCACTATTCAGCAAAGTAGGCTGTGGAACATTGACTTTAGACTATGTTATGCCAATTGACCTTGATGTTCCCCATGACTAAGGTCCCGAGTTCCCAGATGAATGATTTCTTTAGGAGAAATTCACAGGTGGAGAATAATAGAGGTAAAAAGGTCCATTCCAATCCACAGTATAACCCAAGAAGGAAGCGTAAAAAACACTGTACCCTGTTTCAACTTGCATTCCCTTCACCCTCCACTCGCCTGTGCAGGTTTTTGGTAAATATTTTTCCACATTTGCTAACTAGTTCTACTTCTTCTTTCTCAGATTGCAGTTCATTCACTGCCCCCCACCCGCACCACATTATCTATGTGATTAGTTTTAGGTGAGAGTCCTGCTTGTAAGGAAGAACCCTTTGTATAAGATAAACAGTAACATACTGTTACGTTCTGTGCTGTTAACTGAAAGGTTGGTGGTTTGAATCCACTAGGTATACTGTAGGAGAAAGATGGCCCATTTTATAATTTACAGTTTCAGAAATATGATTTTGCTGTTGGTAGGCCAGAAGTTGGAATCGACTTGATGCTTGTAGTTCTTCTCCTTTTACCTGCTGTGACCATTTCTCCTCAGCCTGCCTGTTGCTAGTTTCTTCTTCAATGTTTGCTTCTTGGCTCCTGGGTACATCACTATTAAACTCTTCTCAGAGAGGCAAAGCACAAACACTTGTCTACAGAGCATGTATGAGGAAAGGTCAGACCAAGGTCTGACAGTCCCCATGAGAAAGAAGATGCATTTACTTGATCCTATGGCTGCTTACATCAAGGGAAGGGCAGGAGGAAGAGGAAGTGAGAGTGGGCTCCCCACACATGTCCTCATTTATGACATTTTATTTATGGTGAGAAAACTGGGGACTGGATAATAGTGACGCCTGAATATGACGGAACCTAATAAACCTCACCAACTGTAGTTAGTAGCTTAGTCTGCAGTGTAGATCATTGAAATGGCAAACATTTTTAATCATATTAATAATTCAAAACCAAAACATTTTATCTAATAATTCTAACTTCCCAGTTCTCAACCTTTTCAGCTTTCCTTAAGATTTGATGATGTTGTACATGCCAGTTCTACCCTCATCTCTGTTCTTTCTCCATTTCCTTTGCTGATTCCCCTTTTATTGTAACCCATTAATAACAACTCTAAAATTCTGTCCCTGCTAGCCTCTTAAATCTTCATATGCCTCAGATTCATCTGGGTGGCAGGGAGGCAGCTTATTAAAAACCACAAACTTTGGCTCCCACAAAAGGCTTCTTGGATCTGCATTCCAGACTGGGCTCTGGGGTCCACATTCTTAACTAACTACTTAGGCGAATCCTACATGCCTGGGCCTGATGCTTCCTTTTTTGGGACCAGCACCTGGAAAGTTCTGCTGAAGTCCACGGCTCCTTTTCCCATGCTCTCCACTCCATCTCACTTCTGCCCCGCTTTAGTTCAAGTTCTATCTTGTGCAGTCTCCCCTCTCACCAGCTTATCTAACCAGCTGCTGTGGATTTGATTCCGACTCATGTTGACCCTGTGTGTGTTCAGCTCACCAACTTACAAGTATTCTGGTGGTGTAACCTCTGGGGAGTTCCACAGCTCATGAAAAGGTGGTGTGTCTCTGAAAACACCAGCTGCTCCAAGGGAGAAAGATGGGCACTCTCCTCCCATGTGATCTGCAGCCTCTGGAAAGTCACTGGAAGGTCAGCTATGAGCCAATTCTAACTCAGGGAGACCCTTTGTGTATTAGATTTGTGCCCCGTAGAGTTTTCAACAGCTGACAGGAAGTTGCCAAGCTTTTCTTCTGAGGCACATCTGGATGCACTAAAAGAAACCCCAATCTCAGTGAGCAATAAATCAGATTAACTGCGGTACATCATTCAGCGATTCCTTCAGCTCTATCCCCTCACCTCACTAATGTTAAGTTGAAACTGATCTACAGTTGATCAGTCACTTTCAGAGGCTATACATCATCACATGGGGGAGACTGCCTATCTTTCTTCCGCAGTGCAGCTGGTGGATTTGAACCATGTGCCTTTGCATTAGCAGGGCAACCTCCTACCAACTAGGCCACCAGAGCTCCTTTTTGGCCATAGAGAAGCTAGTTCTCATACTATTCAAATGTGTCTCTACACACACACACACACACACACACACACACACACACACACACAC